GTACCATGTGGAGCATTCTGTATATTTCTCATTCACATTTTATACACATCAATTTGTTGAATTTCAGCAAGAATTCGCATGGCACACTAAGTCTTAATAGTCACCTGTCAAATGGCATCAAAATCAATAATTGTGCCGTATAGGTAATGATAAAAGATGACTCGTTAAAACACACACAATTGTTATATCTATTTGGCGAACGAAACTGAGGCTATAAAAGATGACAGTTCAGTTATCAAATATTATTTGCTTTTCACTGTGGACGTTGTTTTAGGGATAATGATCCAAAGTAGCTTTGTCTTCTGTCATATGGCGCTACAAACTCCTTGGCAATGTCATTCAACGACAGTTAATCTGAAATGTGCTTGCGCGTATGCAATAACAAGACGTTGTTCAGTCGCTCCTGAGTCATCGTAGATCTCAGATATGACTTTAGATGTCTCACTGATGAAAAAGATCGCTCAGCTGCAGAAGGTGTGACTGGAATCGTCAGATAGATCTTTAGTAAGCCAGCGATCTCTGTGAACATCCGTTTGATGACTGGTGAAGAGTTGAGGATAACAATGATTGAGTCAGTACGTGTTACCTCCTTGGTAATGTATCCTTTATCAGTTTACCCTGACTCAATGGTGTCGTTGAGCACCGTTAGCTGTGTTTTAAGGCGTCTGCGAACTGCCTGTCTGCGTAATGGGAGGACACCTATGACGGCGGTCTGTAAATAACCTAGTCTGAACCAGACAATCCGACATCATGAGCATCGATCTACGCATTTCGGGTACGTGTCAATAATGTCAGCATGTCTGACCACCCAATCGCGTTATTCGCCTCTTGCGACAAGTATGGTTTGCTTATGGTCAGTTCTGGCCATGATCTTCGCTGGTGTAACACAACTTAAGGCTTTCAACTAGAGCTGTGTATCGTGGCCTAAGTGGCAAGATGATATATTCTGATACCAGTTTAATGAGGCGAGACGATATATCATGAAAGTATTGGCAAGGAACCTGCGAGACGATTATCATCACGATACAATGGTGCCGATACGATACGTATCCCGATACTTTACAATTTCTAAAAACAGAACAGATATGACAGATAAAATGACTGAGACATTATTTGTTATACAGTAGAACTTGTCTCTCTCTCACACACACACACACACACACACGCACACACACACACGCACACGTACGTGTGAAAAAGTGTTGATCTAATGAAGTTTCAGTATTTAAAGCTCAAGAAAGTACAGTCAAACATATTCAGTTTACCTTGATCTTTTGTATATAAATTTTAAACTGAAGTGTCCCTTGGGGAGTTGTGTTTCTTTCACAAGCAATTCAATGTAATTTATATCATCATTAAAAAAACTCTTAAGTCTTTCTAACTTTTATCTTATCTTTGTTCTCTTTCTTAACATCGTTCATAGTTGTTAATAAATGGCGGTATTTTCATATTTCATTCTAAACATATTTCATTTACAGTTCACAGAGTTTGAAAAATGTTCACACTCTTTTACACCAACTCCTTTGTTCTTGTAACAAATATAACAGATACAAGTAAATCTGTCCATCATAATGTGCTCAGTCACTTACATTCGAACTGTTAAGCTTTCTAAATTTGTTTAGTTTTGTTCGTGAACTACGTAAGTAGTATCGGGAGATATTGTCTCTTGTGGCGATACATCGATGTATCATGGACCCTCGCGATATAAATAACCTGATATATTGCCTAAATGAGGCTTGTATCGATGCACTCGTATCGCCTAGTTGACGATGCAAACATCGATACTATCGATGAATCGTTACACCACTACTTTCAACGAAGTATCTTCCCTTTATCATCTGTTTCCTCTATCCTTAATCACTCATTTGGGTGACTGAGAATGCCGTATGGTTTTCGACCTGACAGCAAGGATACCCCACCGCTCTCATATCATTGGTATTTCAAAGTTCGCGATAGGTTGTTTTCAAGTGACGTGAAACATGACGTCATCAGATCTTTGATAAACTATGCGTGGCACAGACCCGAGTAATTCAAGATCCATATCATATGAGAAAACTGGAATTCGGTGGACAGACAAAAGCCCCGTCCGACCGAAGCCCTTTTGGGCAAAAGCCCCATAGCAAAAATAACAAATGAGACAAAAGACCCAAATTATGTTATCTCAAGGTGGTCTGAGTAGGAAGTTGGTCTTGAGGAGGAGGTTGGTCTTGAGAAGGCTAATCAAGAAATTGGGTTTGAAAAGGATTAATTAAGACACTTAAGTGTTTTTTTCTCAAGGTGGTCTTAAGGAGGAAGGTGGTCTTGAGAAGGGTAACCCAAAGGTTTGAAAAGGATAAATCAACTGTCCCAGAGTTTCTTGAGAATGGCCACCATATAGCCGGTCTGAGATGTCTAGGGCTTTTGCCTAAAAGGGCTTTTACCTGAGGGGCTTCGGTCCTGCGGGCTTTTGTCAGGCAATCCGGAATTCACGTCATTTTGTGCTTACAAACAGAATTCATTTCACAAACACAATCACAGTATTCAAGCTTTTATTGATAAAATATACAGCGGTGTCAAACGCACTGAAATAAATAAACGCTTAATCGAAACCATTATTGTTTCACTATCAGCACACGCAATGCTAACAACACAAGCTCCTCACACTGCCAAAATCATAATGACGCACAGATGCTATGTATACACGTACATGTAACAGATCGAGATGGAGGTTGTCAGGGGGCCGAGCTTGATTGAGCTTAACGTAGCATTGACCACTATTTAAGTCAAGTCAAGTATATTTCTGAAGTGGGGAGGCCTTAGGCCAATATCACTGTTACATACACTGAGGATATTTTGTCTGACAAGCATTGCTTTATATTCAGAGATAGGTAAGTTGATTATAGTAGTTTCATTATTTACGGACATCAACATTACAAATTTCTTATATGTAGGAAGATCAAACTATTTTTCAGGTGTAAATATGGTTCTTATTTCTTCGTAGGCAAATTTAAATAAAATGATATTCATCCTCGATATGAGGCTCTTCACGAACTAATCATGCTCTGTCTGATCTAGCCTGCTTATAATATGGACCCGTTTCTATTGCTAACTTGGGGGAATCCCACCTAAAGCGCACAAGAGCATTTCGATATTTTGACAGTGTGAAAGTGTCTGTACATTTCACGACCAAATGACGTTTTAAACGAAGAATATAGGGATGTTTTTGAACCATTACATAAAGCATAGAGCCACTCTTGTTCATAAGAAACCTAAATACGATTAACAATTTCAGAGAGGAATCGGTTTATATCCCGACCTGTTGTAGTTCCCAGATGTTTCCAAAACCATATAGATGCTGCCGTAGTCGGGATGCCCAATATACTTTACCATTTTTGAAGTCATTTAACTATTTGAGGCAAGTCACGGCGAGATAGCTGGGAGTGGAAAGAGTGAGTTAGTTTGGTTTTACGCCGCTTTTAGCAATGTTCAGCAACAGTGTGCGAAATAGCCACTTGCCCGCTAGCCCGTGGCTAGTAAAAATCCAGTCGGGCCAGTAAATCTCCACAGTCACTGGCCCGACTGGCTAGTGATATTTTATGGGGTCATTTTGTAAATATATCACTCCCTCCGACTTTAGTTATAATACACCTTTAAATCATGCAAGATTATGGCCTGATAAATATGTTTATCGTATAGGCAGCTTAATGATGAAACCCGTGTCTACATTCAAATTTCGGGCTAGTAAATTATTTTGTGGGCTAGCTTGCCCGACTGGCTAGCAAAATTTGGAAACTATTTCGCACACTGTTCAACAATATCACGGCGGGGGACACCAGAAATGGGCTTCACACATTGTACCCATGTGGGGAATCGAACCCGGGTCTTCAGCGTGACGAGCGAACGCTTTAACGATTTGGCTACTCACCGCCCCTGGAAGTGAGACGAAAGCCAGTTTAGACTTTTATCATTTGACCAGACCAAGTGTAATAATAATGTCTTTGTGGGACTAAACAAGCGATCATACGATTCTGACAGACGTAAGGGAGGTAACTCTTTATGTGGCAGTGCATTGTACTGAGACAGCATTGCCTAACTTCAAACCATATTAAAAAATAACCACCTTTCGTCCTTAATTCACAATCATTGTTTCAAATACATTGGTTTCAAAGTGAACGGTGTATTCACAGCGATCAGGGAATAGACATCACAAAAGGGAACTAACTCCACTGAAAAAAAAACATGCTTTCAACTTTGAACACCAACAAAAACAAAATATTAACAGGTGGGTTTAGAATCCGAATGAAGATCAATTCAGTTGATTGAATTGATTAGTTTATAATTATACTGGAGGCTTTAAATTACGACTGTTCTTAATTCACAGGGTCACGTTTCCTGTCTTACGAAACACGGATTCAAGAAACAGGTTTCATCCAAGGCAAAACACCATCGTTGAATTTGTTTAACAATGATCAGTGGAACGCAGAAACTGTACCAACGTCAACACCGTCACTAGCCCCTCCAAATAAAACAAAACATATTAAAAACACAAACGGAGACGTAGATCGCTAACACGCCATGAAGCCAGCAGTAGTCCATGTTGTTTGATATCGTTCCTCTGAACTGCATGTGGCACACATAGGCTCTCCTGAACTGAGTTTAGTTTCACGCCGCTTTTAGCAATAGTCCAGCAATATCACGGCTGAGAACACCAGAAATGGGTTTCACACATGGTATCCATGTAGGGAGTCGAACCCGGTTCTTCGGCGTGACGAGTGAACGCTCTATCATTCAGGCTACCCCACCGTCCCGGTTCTCCGGAAACACACTGTTTCTGTTCGAACTGTGATGAGTGAGTGAATGTCACTTTACGCCGCACTCAGCAACATTCCAGTTGCCGGTTGCACATTCATATGACCGAGGCTGTATCGCCCAAACCTAGGCTGAAAATATAAACGCCGTTCACTCTTAATGAGAAAAATCACAAATCCTGACTATCCGATTGACATCTGTCGCCTCTTTAGTCAAGTAGGGCGGTGAGGTCTTTTTCTCACCATCCGCTCCTTACGGATCCTAATGGTGAGGCCGGGTGAAGCAACAGCGTTCCCATAAGCCCACGCATCTGACAATTTGCCAGCCCAGCAGTCCTGAGTAAGTCAGTCACACGAATTGTTTCTACCACAGCTCTAAACACAAGGTTATTATCTGAAGGACATGAGGGGAGATAACTCTCAAATACAAACTGCCCGGACGCATATGCGTTCACATGACGCCCCCGGGCAGTTCATCTGACACCACAGATTCATACCAGGATTCGAACGCCACTGTCCGGTGGGAATATAGCACATTGTTTTCACCGGAAATCCGGTTTTCGGAAAAGAGCTGTTCATGATATAAAAGTTGGTTTTCAGATAGAGCCGGGCTCCATCCGGGTACTCACAGAAACACATGCAATAGTGGTCCGGGCAACTTCCGGCCCGACAATGTCGACTGCACCAGCCGTACATGCCTTTCACAGATTGTTGGGGCTTAGCTGGCCCACATATTATATTTCTGAACCTCTCGTTACACGGTTGTAGTGTTGTGTTCTGTGTTGGAGAAACTGCTGTTGATGTCGCCGCAAAGTAATCTGGTATTGCAGTTGTCGTCATTGCTGTTAGCGTCGTCGACGTTGTGACCTGGGTAGATGTAGTCGTTGGTTGTATTGTTGTAGTTGGTGTGGTTGTCGTTGTAGTAGATGAGGACGTGGTAGGTGTTGTCGTGGTCATCGCGGTTGTTGATGTTGTAGTCGTAGAGGACGGCCGTCCGTGGGGTTGGACGTAGGTGTGATGCAGACCAGCCCGGGGGTAGGTGTACACAATGCCAGATTTGATGTTGCTGGTCACTCTGGTGTCGTGGCTGCTGTCAATGAGACCGCTGGAAGTGTGGCCGTTGTCCTGACCGTTGTCCGTGCTGGCCGAATGACCAAGGATCCGGATATCTGCGCAGTTAATGAACTCTTCTTGTTGCCCACAGCCAAGGCACTCCTTACATCCGTTGTGATCCCGTCCCATCCTGTACCCTGTAACAGGCGGAAGTGAGGTAGTTTTTAGTTAACAATCCAGTGAGTGAGATCATGAGCATCAATCTATGCAATTGGGAAACAATGACTGTATCAACTATGCTAGCGACTCATCAACATTTCAGCTATACGACAGCGGTCTGTTAAATAATCGAGTCTGGACCAGATAATCTAGTGATCAACATCATGAGCATCGTTCTAAGCTATTGGGAAACAATAACTGTATCAACTACGCTAGCTACTCTGACCACCCGATAATAAACGGTCTTCAGCGGCTTCTTGCAAGCATGTGTGTGTGTGTGTGTGTGTGTGTGTGTGTGTGTGTTGGGGTTGGGGTAGCCTAGTGGTTAAAGCGTTGGCTCGTCACGCCGAAGACCCGGGTTCGAATCCCCACATGGGTACAATGTGTGAAGCCCATTTCTGGTGTCCCCCACCGTGATGTTGCTGGAATATTGCTAAGAGGGGCGTAAAACCAAACTCAGTCAGTCTTGCAAGCATGGAATGCTATTGTTTTACGCTGGTTGGTTGGTTTTGGTTGTTTAACGCTGCACTCACCGATATTCCAGCTACATGGCAGCGGTCTGTAAATAATTGAGTTTGGACAGCACAATCCAGTGATCAACATCACGAGCATTGTTCTAAGCCATTGGGATACGATGACACGTGTAAATCAAGCTAGCGAGCCTGACCACCCGATCCCGTTATAAATAGTCATCGGCAGCCCCTTCCAACCATGCGTTGCTGAAGACAAATGAATTGGTTTACGAGTGAGAGGGATAAAAAAACATATTTCATCACCGCCTTCATGTCTTAAAGGACTTTGCCCATGTCCAGCAATCATGGGTACGTTTTGTGTATGTCCAGCAATCATGTGTATGTTTTGTGTCTCTCCAGCAATCATGTGTATGTTTTGTGTCTGTCCAGCAATCATGTGTATGTTTTGTGTATGTCCAGCAATCATGTGTATGTTTTGTGTCTGTCCAGCAATCACGTGTATGTTTTGTGTGTGTCCAGCAATCATGTGTATGTTTTGTGTGTGTCTAGCAATCATGGGTATGTTTTGTGTCTGTCCAGCAATCATGGGTATGTTTTGTGTCTGTCCAGCAATCATGTGTATGTTTTGTGTCTGTCCAGCAATCATGGGTATGTTTTGTGTATGTCCAGCAATCATGGGTATGTTTTGTGTGTGTCTAGCAATCATGGGTATGTTTTGTGCGTGTCCAGCAATCATGTGTATGTTTTGTGTATGTCCAGCAATCATGGGTATGTTTTGTGCGTGTCTAGCAATCATGGGTATGTTTTGTGTCTGTCCAGCAATCATGTGTATGTTTTGTGTCTGTCCAGCAATCATGTGTATGTTTTGTGTATGTCCAGCAATCATGTGTATGTTTTGTGCGTGTCCAGCAATCATGGGTATGTTTTGTGTGTGTCCAGCAATCATGTGTATGTTTTGTGTGTGTCCAGCAATCATGGGTATGTTTTGTGTATGTCCAGCAATCATGGGTATGTTTTGTGTGTGTCCAGCAATCATGTGTATGTTTTGTGTGTGTCTAGCAATCATGGGTATGTTTTGTGTGTGTCTAGCAATCATGTGTATGTTTTGTGTGTGTCTAGCAATCATGGGTATGTTTTGTGCGTGTCCAGCAATCATGTGTATGTTTTGTGTGTGTCCAGCAATCATGTGTATGTTTTGTGCGTGTCCAGCAATCATTATGTTTATGTTTTGTTATGTCCAGCAATCATGGGCATGTTTTGTGTATGTCCAGCAATCATGGGTATGTTTTGGTGTGTGTCTAGCAATCATGGGTCTGTTTTGTGCGTGTCCAGCAATCATGTGTATGTTTTGTGTGTGTCTAGCAATCATGGGTATGTTTTGTGCGTGTCCAGCATTCATGGGTATGTTTTGTGCATGTCCAGCAATCATGTGTATGTTTTGTGCGTGTCCAGCAATCATGGGTATGTTTTGTGCGTGTCCAGCAATCATGTCTATGTTTTGTGTATGTCCAGCAATCATGTGTATGTTTTGTGTGTGTCTAGCAATCATGGGTATGTTTTGTGTATGTCCAGCAATCATGTGTATGTTTTGTGTGTCCAGCAATCATGTGTATGTTTTGTGTATGTCCAGCAATCATGTGTATGTTTTGTGTGTCTAGCAATCATGGGTATGTTTTGTGTATGTCCAGCAATCATGGGTATGTTTTGTGTATGTCCAGCAATCATGTCTATGTTTTGTGTATGTCCAGCAATCATGGGTATGTTTTGTGCATGTCCAGCAATCATGTGTATGTTTTGTGTGTCTAGCAATCATGGGTATGTTTTGTGTATGTCCAGCAATCATGGGTATGTTTTGTGCGTGTCCAGCAATCATGTGTATGTTTTGTGTGTGTCTAGCAATCATGGGTATGTTTTGTGTCTGTCCAGCAATAATGTGTATGTTTTGTGTATGTCCAGCAATCATGTGTATGTTTTGTGCGTGTCCAGCAATCATGTGTATGTTTTGTGTGTGTCCAGCAATCATGTGTATGTTTTGTGCGTGTCCAGCAATCATGTGTATGTTTTGTGCGTGTCCAGCAATCATGTGTATGTTTTGTGCGTGTCCAGCAATCATGGGTATGTTTTGTGCGTGTCCAGCAATCATGGGTATGTTTTGTGCATGTCCAGCAATCATGTGTATGTTTTGTGCGTGTCCAGCAATCATGGGTATGTTTTGTGCGTGTCCAGCAATCATGTCTATGTTTTGTGTATGTCCAGCAATCGTGTGTATGTTTTGTGTGTGTCTAGCAATCATGGGTATGTTTTGTGTATGTCCAGCAATCATGTGTATGTTTTGTGTGTCTAGCAATAATGGGTATGTTTTGTGTCTGTCCAGCAATCATGGGTATGTTTTGTGTATGTCCAGCAATCATGTCTATGTTTTGTGTATGTCCAGCAATCATGTGTATGTTTTGTGTATGTCCAGCAATCATGTGTATGTTTTGTGTGTGTCCAGCAATCATGGGTATGTTTTGTGTCTGTCCAGCAATCATGTGTATGTTTTGTGCGTGTCCAGCAATCATGTGTATGTTTTGTGTGTGTCTAGCAATCATGGGTATGTTTTGTGCGTGTCCAGCAATCATGTGTATGTTTTGTGCGTGTCCAGCAATCATGTGTATGTTTTGTGCGTGTCCAGCAATCATGTGTATGTTTTGTGCGTGTCCAGCAATCATGTGTATGTTTTGTGTATGTCCAGCAATCATGTGTATGTTTTGTGTATGTCCAGCAATCATGTGTATGTTTTGTGCGTGTCCAGCAATCATGTGTATGTTTTGTGCGTGTCCAGCAATCATGTGTATGTTTTGTGTATGTCCAGCAATCATGTGTATGTTTGTGCGTGTCCAGCAATCGTGTATGTCCAGCAATCATGTTTGTGTATGTCCAGCAATCATGTGTATGTTTTGTGCGTGTCCAGCAATCATGTGTATGTTTTGTGCGTGTCCAGCAATCATGTGTATGTTTTGTGTATGTCCAGCAATCATGTGTATGTTTTGTGTGTGTCCAGCAATCATGTGTATGTTTTGTGCGTGTCCAGCAATCATGGGTATGTTTTGTGCGTGTCCAGCAATCATGTGTATGTTTTGTGTATGTCCAGCAATCATGGGTATGTTTTGTGTATGTCCAGCAATCATGGGTATGTTTTGTGTCTGTCCAGCAATCATGTGTATGTTTTGTGTCTGTCCAGCAATCATGTGTATGTTTTGTGTGTGTCCAGCAATCATGTGTATGTTTTGTGCGTGTCCAGCAATCATGTGTATGTTTTGTGCGTGTCCAGCAATCATGTGTATGTTTTGTGTCTGTCCAGCAATCATGTCTATGTTTTGTGTCTGTCCAGCAATCATGGGTATGTTTTGTGCGTGTCCCGTGTATCCATAACACTGCCCCGCTGCGTAATTGTGACCTATGCCATTGCAACTTAAATAAAGAAAGGAGGGAGTAAATAAAAACAAGAAGCTCATGACAGGAGGCCGCTGGTTGACTGGTGGAGGCGTTTCGCTTCAAGTACACGCCATTAAAATATAACATATGTGGAGGCAATAATTGCATACGTTGCAAAACGGAAACTGTTGCTACTGGCGCGACCCCTCACTGGAACCATTATTTACTTGATTCGTTCGTTAGAAATAACCTCTTCGCCCGAAAGCAACCGTATGTATTCACGGCTTTCAGGAATGTGAAGTAAAGACATTTAGTCCCCTATTTGTTTGCCGGTTTGCTGCTAAACGCCACACTCAGCATGATCCAACTATATGGCGGCGGTCGGCGAACGCCTTAAGCACGAGGCTACCCCGCCGCCCAATTAATCTTATCAAATTCAGACAAAAGTATTTGACCTCTCTGTGGGAAGACCAGAGAAACAGTTTAGTGGGGGAAATGTCTAAAAATGTTTCGGAAGGCATGTGTTTTGTGGTTCTTTTCCATTGTTAAATCCATTGTTTAAGCCGAATTTTCCAGTACAATCAAACGTCGCTGTGTCTATTATGTTGAAGACACCGTCATGTAAGTAAATGCTTCGACATATCCGGGGTTCGATACAACCGCAAAGGGTTGCAATATAAGGAATAAGCATGAACATAGAGATTTTTTCTGGGTTACATCTTCTTTATATTCTTGAGTACAACGTTTCAGGGCTTGTTTTGGCCCCATCATCAGGTAAAACTGAAAATCTCTATGTTCATCAAATAGCATCTTCTAAAATGCCAATTAAGCATCTAAGGAATAAGCAGTGATCCTTTTTTTCATTCGAAACATCCGCACGTTCGACACATCGCAGTTATGACAGACTGACTAACTGAGGAAGCTTTTACGCCGTTTTTAGCAATATTCCAGCAATATCACGGCGGGGGACACCAGAAATGGGCTTCACACATTGTACCCATGTAGAGAATCGAACACGGGCCTTTGGCGTGAGAAGTGAACGCTTTAACCACTAGCTACCCACCGCCTCTGTTATGACAGACTCTGTTGATGGGTATAGTTACGGGAACAGGAGTTTATGTCAAGGAGGGACCGTCAGAAGGAACAAAACAATCTTTTATTGTTCGGGACATGCAGCACGCCCGGCAAACAGCTATTTTGTAGTCAAGCCTCAGGCATTTTTTTTCAATATTATATTTCAGAATATATTTTCAGAATATCAGCAAGTCTGTTACTCATTTTACAGAAATTGAAGTTTTAAATTCTGAATGGTTTTGTTTTGTTGTTTAAAGCCGCAATATTCCAGCAATATGGCGGCGGTTTGTAAATAATCCAGTCTGGACCAGACAATCCAGTGATCAACAGCTTGAGCACCCATCTACGCAATTGGGATACGATGACATGTGTCAACCAAGTCAGCGAGTCTGACCACCCGATCCCGTTGGTCGCCTCTTACGACGTCGACAAACATGGGCTGCTGAAGATCAATTCTAAGCCGTATCTTCAAGGGTAAATATTTAATGGTAAGTCACTTACCGGTATGGTACTTCCACTGCAACACACAGATGTCGCAACTCAGTCCTTTGGGCATGCGCAGATGCATGTCATAATACTCCCTTCCGCTTCCGGTGTAATAGCGAGTAGAATTAGTTTCCTCAATAACTAATGGTGGGTGCGTTTTGAAGCACGTCTCAAGACTTGGACCAACGGGACCATCTTGACGTGGACAGAGTCTGAACTCAAAGTAGCCGAGTAGATTCTGCCTAGTGTACACAGTCACATTCAGCTTTTGTCCCAACTGGATTGTTTTGATCGGAGCTTGTTTGGAGTAGATTCCAGGATATTCGTTTTGTTTGATGACGTCATTGTATGCGTCACCACACGCTCCGCACCGACCTCCTGCGTTTTGCCATTGTTCCTACAAGATATGTCACAATATAATTAAAATACACCTGAAGAATGGGTTTCATATTTTAGAAAACTGCTAAATCCTGCGTTATTACGAGAAGAAACAGAATTTGATCATACAGTTAGACGGTTTATACAAAGCCATTCATGTGACACTTGTACTTCTGCTCCCTGGACGAATGATCTGCTCAGTTAAAATATCACTGAAGAAGAAATAAAGGAAGAAATTAAAAATCTTAAGAAAAGAAAGTCCCCTGGAGAAGACGGCACACCTAAAGAATGTTACAAGATTTCATCAGAAACCCTTATTCCATTTTTAATCCTACTTCTTAATAAAATATATTCCTTGAATCATAGAATCAGGCTATTATTCTTCCCGTATATAAGACTTGATCAAGAAGTAACCCATCAAAATACAGAAGCATTTCACTACTGGACAGTATTGGGGAACTGTTCACAGATATATTAGAACGGCGTTTAAGGAAATGGATAGATTTTTATAAAATACTACCAGATGCTCCAAGCTGGATTCGGATTGAATTATGCTTCAGTTGATCGTAATTCTAATTTGCATGCTTTATGTACCAAATATATGTCTAAACCGACTGTGTTTTTGTAGATTTTTAAAAAGCATTTGATTATGTAGACAGGGAAAAGTTATTGCGTAATGGTTACCATGGTAAATATGTTCCGGGTTTTGGAAAATATGTATACCTCTGTTAAAGCTTCAGTTAAGATTGGAACTTGCCAAACACAGTCATTTTCTACCTCCAGTGGTATTCGTCAAGGTTGTATCCTCAGCCCCATTCTTTTCATTTTCTTTATAAATGAATTAGTACACCATTTGTATGAAAAATGTGCCCATGGTATATTTGTATCCCAGGATATGATAACTGCTTCTATGATGTTGTTCTATTCTCTCATACTGGTCTAAATTTGCAAAGGCAATTAAATATCCTGCATTCATTTTGTTTAAAATGGAGACTCCAATTAAATTTGGACAGACTAATATAGTCGTATTTAGAAATGGGGTAATAGTTGCAAAAAATGAACAATGAACATTTGGTAGTGTAATATTAAAAACTGTATCGTGTTATAAATATTTAGGCATCATTTTCTCATCCAGGCTGATTTGCTCAACAGCGTGCAGTACTCATACATTGCAGGCTTCTAAAGCCGTTTTCCCTGTATCCAGACTGTTTTATAAAAACAAGTTATTGTCTTTTTCGACAGCATGTAATATCTTCGATGGTAAAATTGCACCTATTTTGTCATGAATATCATGATTGTATTGAAAAGGTGCAAACATCTTATTTCAAACGTATTGTGTGTGTTGGGAAACTTGCATCGAATAAGGCAATTTTAGGTGAAATTGGCCGTACCAATATGTTTGTTTTACGTAGGCACAGAGCTGTTAAATAATGGATTAAATTAGTCAGAATGGGTGTAAACCGATATCCACATTAATGTTAAATTTTTTTGAAATAACTGGATGATAGAGGTAAAATGAACTGGGTTTCAGATATCCGTCTTTTACTATTTACCTGTGGGTATTTAAGCAAACATTAGTGAATATTTATATTTAAGCAAACATTAGTGAATATTTATGCCAACAATTGGCATGGCAATGTACAAGCTTCACATTTTCTGAGTAATTATATTCATATAAACTTCGGATTTTACCCTAAAGCGTATATTACATACTTGTTTCATGACTAGACGTTACTGAAGTTATTTTGTAAATTCCTAATTTCTCAACATAATTTGAATGTGAATGCAACCAGACGAAACAAGGATCTGAAACACAGCACGCTTTGTGTAATCATTGTAACGGCGGACAAGTTCAGGATGAATTTCATAGTTTACTACAATTTCCAGAATATAATAATTTGATAATAAAATACTTACCATTGTTCAATGGTACATATGTAAATCCCCAATGATAAATTTGTTAAATTCACAATATGGATGCATCGTCAAAGCAATAGCCATATTTCTAAAGTGTGTATTTTTCCAAGAAAGTTTGCAACTGTTTAAATTTATTTTTTCTCTCTTCATACCAAGTGACAACATGGACCAGTAGGCCAATATTACTGAATAAGGTTTGTCTGTCTGTCTGTCTGTCTGTCTGTCTGAAATTGCATACGAATTCTTTAGTTGTTTATGTTTCTCTTCTTTTTTTTCGTTTTATTGTGGGGTTGGGGTGGTGGTTTGGTGGGTAAGAAAGAAATTCTCAAATTATTTATTTCCGACTGCAGCTCCAATCTCTCTAATCCTAACCTGGACCAGACAATCCAGTGATTGATATTACGCATTTTCTTCAACACAGTCTGGATAGATTGACAAACATAGACAATACAAGCCTTACCATCCTACCAAACCTACCATAAATCTTTGTAAACGAGGTGAATGTCATATGGGAATGTCACTTGGTATGTAAATATTCAAGTCTGGCCCCCGTCGGTATTCCATTACATGCAATAACCCGGTTACGACCTTCTTTCTTACCGGCTCGGGGACCAACTGACCAGGATCCCCACGAGATAATGTTTGGTGTTTGGATGCATAGATTTGCACGTCATTGCATAATTTGAACGTTGCAAACTGCGTTAATGTTTGAATTATTTTAATAATTTCTTTTCTTTCAATTATTTTATGGTCTGCGTATGTGCGTGCATGCGTATGAGGAAAGCATTCACTGCTTTACACAAACTTTTAATAATTAAGATTGAGTCCTGTGTCGAAATTTGCGATAATTTGTTTGCAAGTGTTACATAACAAAATGCAAGAGACTGTTTATTCAAGGATTCCTTATACAGGTGCATTTATCAAACACCACAACATATTATGGCAGCCCCAACAATCAAACTGTCAGCATATGCAGTACGCATAATACCACAGGCAGTATTTACATTTTATATAAGCAAATAACTTTGCTTGAAATAGGCACCACATACAACACCCTATACAGGCTGATATTTCACTGGTCTAACTATGTTACATCCTGGTATGTTGGATATCTGATTATGTTCATGTATTTGTATATGTCATTATGTAATGACCGCCGTTTATGACGGAAGACCTTGGTTTCATGAAAAATAAAATAAATTTTAAAAAACAATAAAACAAAAAAACAACTTTGCTTGAAATTGTTCCGCATACGCTGAATTTGGATGCTCTATCTTTCTACCTTTTATCATACATTTTCACCATTTAGTTACAACTAGAATGTCAACTTGATTGATTATGCAAACAGGGTGGTGGGTTTCGATGTGTGGAGTCAATTTCTGGCGTTCCCCACCGTGTTACTACTGGAGCATTGGTACAGGTGGCGTAAGACTAAATTCACTCAGTCATTATGCCAGCTATATGACCGCCGCCTGAAATTAATCGCGTTAATCAGGCAATCTAGTGATAAGAGTATGAATAACAAGGCATGCCTTCGGCGTACGATAACAAACAATCACCCTTGTCTGACCAACCTGTCCGATATTTGGCATCGTTACTGTAGGCTTAGAACAGGTAACCACTTTCCCTTAGAGAGCTGCAAGAACAGTCACCAGACCACGACCGTATCAGACACATGTGGAACGAGCTGCAGATTCTCACGACGCCTTATCCTTCCAGCAACTCTATAGGAACTTGGCAATGCTCTCACTGAGGAGTGGAAGAATCGTCCTTTGATCGTCCACACGACGCCTTATGCTTCAAGTAAACTCTATAGGAGCTTGGCAATGCTCTCACTAAACTCTATTGGAACGCCTTATGCTTCAAGTAAACTCTATAGGAACTTGGAAATGCTCTCACTGAGGAGTGGAAGAATCATCATTTGATCGTCCACACGACGCCTTATCCTTTCAGCAAGTCTATAGGAACTTGGTAATGCTTTTATTGAGGAGTGGAAGAATCGTGGGGGCAAGGCTATGATCGCATCACGTGAATCACAAACGCCCAAGTGAGAACCCGATCTCCCGGCTGACTGCAGATTCTACCATGCCGCAGGTGTTAAGTTGCTAGCCCTCTCAGATACCATGCCGCGGTTTCACACTAGTGTCTAACTCAGACACAGTGCACCAGACCAGTCCTTGTCTTATCCCCTTAATGTCGAGGTTCAGGCAGGGCAACATCAAGCGTCATATTTTAACGTACTTTGTGAGTAAGTGAGTTCAGTTTTACGCTGCCTTTTAGCAATTTTCAAGTTATATCACGGCGGGGGACACCAGAAATGGGCTTCACACATTGTACACATGTGGGGAATCGAACCCGGGTCTTCGGCGTGACGAGCGAACGCTTTAACAACTAGGCTACCCAACCGCCCTGGGATAAAATGAGAAATTCAGGAATGTTGTTTAAACCAAACGATTCAATAACACGACTAGTGAAATCCAATAACAAAGTTGCGAATCTAGACGCCATGGGCCCCTGGAAAGACTTATGCTGTAAGCTTACTTGATTGTCTAACGTTCCCTAATTTTCCACACCTGTCAAAATGAACAATCACTTGGCCAAAAATAGGAGCCACGCGTCTTGACATTAATATCTTTGGTCATGAACTATTAGTCACAACATATATTATTCAGTTCCAGGATTTAGAGCATTATCGAGTTCTTTATAGAAGCCCCCGGCAAAAGGAGGTGAGGTGAGGTGAAATGGGGTTTAACGTCGTGCTTGAAAATATTTCGCTCATATGACGACGTGCATGCGTGTGTATGTGTATGTGCGGCTGCTTGTACTAGCCCCGACTTAAGCTGGTTTTATAGTGCAAGCCCACAGAGATACCATGCCGCAGTGAAGCATGAATACCCCACTCAGACACATTATACTGAGTCCGAGCCAACCAGTCCCTGTTGTACCCATTAATGCCGAACGCCAGGCAGGGACCAACAAGTACCATATTTTAACGTCTTTTGGTATGACGCGGTGGAGGATCGAACCCGCGACCTTCCGCTCTCCGGGCGGACGCTCTAACCACTACACCACGGAGGCGGTCCCGGCAAAAGGAGACATTCTTTGATCTCGAATCTGTTCAATACGTCGCACAACAACTCATACCTACAAGCAAGCCTCCGTAAGTTTATTAATAGTTATTTTAACCCGCAAACACCCCACCCTTGCCGCAAGAATAAATTTGGAGATGTAGATTAAGATTACGAGAACACCAGAAATGGGCTTCACACATTGCCCCCATTTGGGGAATGGAACCGGGTCTTCGGCGTGACGAGGGAACGCTTTAACCACTAGGCCACCCAACCGCCCCAGATGTAAGGCCAGTATTGCAACGTACCGGGTATATTGCTTTTGGCAATACTGCAGCAATATCACGGCTGGGATCACCAGAAATGGGCTTCCCACATTGTACCCATTATGGGAGCACATGAATAATCTCAATGAGTATTCCAAATTAAATGGTGTTGTACGTGACGTCACCAGCCTCTTGAATGAGTGAGTGACTGAGTTTAGTTTAACTCCGCACTCAGCAATATTCCAGCCATATGGCGGCGGTCTGTAAATAATCGAGTCTGGACCAGAGAATCCAGTGATCAACAGCATGAGCATCGATCTGCGCAATTGGGAACCGATGACATGTGTCAACCAAGTCAGCGAGCCTGACCACCCGATCCGGTTAGTCGCCTCTTACGACAAGCATAGTCGCCTTTTGTGGCAAGCATGGGTTGCTGAATACCTATTCTACCTCGGATCTTCACGGGTCGGCACTTGAGTGAAGCAGGTCACGATCAGCTGTTATTTATTTGTTTGTTTATTTGTTGTTTAACACTGCACAGAATATTCCAACTCGTGACATCACGAGCATCGATCTACGCAGTTGGGAAACAATGACATGCATTAAAGAAAAAGCCAGACCATCCGATCCCGTTATTTGCACGATCGACACGCATGGATCCATAATTTGGATCTTCACGGATGTCATGATCAGCTGAGATGATGAACAGGAATTTTGTGTTTTGGACCTTGAGTTGCCGGGTTAGGCACCTGTTTCAGCTTAGCAACGTCTATAAAACGTTGTATTTTGGGGCCAAATGAATATATCCTATTGCCCTGCAACATGTATGATGCTTGTTGTCATCTCAAACAGGAATCTGTCATTCAGATGATGCAATGTTTTCAAATTTAATGTCATAAAATATTGTTAGCAGCAACGGCGCAGTATGACAAATAGCTGTCACTCACCACTGGAAATCTCTAAAATATTTTGATGCAAATATCAGAAAGAAATTCTTCTAATACCTTACGGGTAATGTATAATGGGTAATAGCGAATATGACAGTGAGAAGAACGTTATTTTGTTTAAAACGAGAAGACTTCTGAAATATTTTTAAAGTATGGGCTCTGGTACCCAAGGCGGAGGCCTCTTAAACATATTTTTTTAAATACTTACTTCAAGAAACAATAAAAGAAATTAAGTTGTCTTTAATTCCGAGCTGGTGCTAACATAACCTCTTCGGGAGATTTATCCACCAAGGATAATGTTGAGCTGTCGATTTGAAATGGATGAGCTAAACTGATTTAACTTCGCCTTGAGTGAGTGAGTATGGTTTTACGCCGCATTTAGGAATATTCCAGCAATATCACCACGAGGGACACCAGAAATGGGCTTCATACCTTCGCTTTGAACAATCTAGTTGTCTTTCAGGGCGGAAGCTTAAGTTTGTTTACGCGGTGGTTTTAACATCATTACGTTAACATCAAGGCGGGTGAAACTTAGAATTAATTTCATACTTTGTACCCGCTTAGGAAACGGAACCTGGGTTCTGGAAATACTAGCAAATGCTTTAATGATATCCACCAAACCATCCCTTCTTTAATATTTACTAAGGACTTAAGGTGGCGGGGTAGGCTAGTGGCTAAAGCGCTCGCTTGTCACGCCGAAGACCCGGTTCGATTCCAAAAGTGAGTACAATGTGTGAAGCCAATTTCTGGTGTGTCGCCGTGCTATTGCTGAAATACTGCCAGCAGTGGAGTAAAACTAACCTCACTGACTCTCCTTTCTCATTCTGAAGTGTCTTAACTCAAAAGCTGTAAAACATTATAAAAAATATGAATTTAATTAAAAAGATACTTACATAAAAGCCACCACAATTCAACAGCTCATCGAGATAGTTCATTGGCACGCTGACATCGCCCAGTCTCCACAAACTCGATCTCATTGTGGGCTCTATGAGACGAGCTCTGCCATTGGCTAGTTCCCACAGGCACGTGAAGCACGTGAATATCGAGAAGAGAAAGAGTTGCACATATGCAGTGTCAGGCGTCATTTCCTCCGTGTGATTGTGATTGTAACAGTTGAGAAGACAACGCTACAATAGCTTGTCTCAGCTAGCCCTCGAGTTGACACTTTGTATTTGTGTGGAATCAAGTCTCGTCCTTTAAAGTAAATATCCACTAGGTAATATTATTTAAAAGAAAAACAGAATGTCCTTTCTTTTGGCAATTATAACAGTATTTTGAAATATGCTTCCGTCGTGTTTGGATTTGAACGAACGATCCCGGTGGTACTTTGTAAAAATCCACAAATGAAATTTAAAATCCTTTCAATATCAGTACACACATATTCGATGAAATGTATCCTGTTTAACAGACACAATTCAACTGTGTCACGATGGGAATATATTCAGAACAATGTCCTCCAGTGTTCCTTCGGTGTCGTGTAAGAGTTTCCCGGAATTATAATGGGTGTTCATATTTATATAAGACACACTGACATTCTAAAATGGTTACGTTACGATAAACAGGGCTTATGATTGACGTTGTGAGGAGAAACGTGACGTCATCACGTGGGAAGATTCCGTGTTTCACTTCCGGGTTATTACTGAAAGTTCATGGCGTTCAATATCCTCCTCCGATGGTACAAGAAATTAGCTGAATTTTTGCCAGTAGTGATCTGTAAAATAAGGAATAAGTTATATTATATAAATGATTCTTAAAACTTCAATTATTTAAAATAAATCAAGATTCCTGATAAGTTTTCCACAAAAAAATACATGTAACTTTGTCATTTTGGACTAAAGCGATACGCTGGTTTTAAGACAAACAGAAAATTAAGAATTGTGCTTTCGTGGAGCAATGATCGTGATAAATGAGAGTCATGAAACGTGATGAATGCCTTAAAAAATACCTTTCCAAAACCTTATTACTCTTTGTTTAAGCCTGACAAGCGTGTTTAAAGAAGTAGTTAAATCTGCCCGACTGTTATAATTAGCCAGACATGATCACTGCAAGTCATTGTGCAATACACACCGCAAATTGTCAATCATGTGTCAAGGCTGTCTGGGTCATGTGACGTAGTCTAAAAATTGGATAGCACGCACAGGATTAATTTTATGTAAATGTGTAAAGCATAATTACGATCTTACTGTCGTCATGATCATCAAAATCATCATCATCATAAATAACAATAGCCAAAACATGATATTCTTACAGCCACCATGAGTCTGTAAGAACTCGAGTCTAGACCTATCGCGGGCCGGTGGTGGTAGCCTAGTGGTTATAGCGTTCGCTCGTCACGCCGAAGACCCGGGTTCGATATCCCCACATGGGTACAATGTGTGAAGCCCACTTCATGTGTCCCCCGTGGTGGTATTGCTGGAATATTGCTAAAAGCGGCGTAAAACCATACTCACTCACTCACTCATCCACTAAACCAATCGCTAAGTATGACCAGTCGTTCCGTTCAGTTTTCTCTTGTGACAAGCATGGGTTTCTGGAAACATTTTTGTCACCAGGAATCCATTCAGGTTCAAAGCAAATAAAAGCTTAATTTTTCAAGTGAATGAATGAACAATTAATTATTAATAGACACCGCAGTAAAGCAGTTTGTTTTGTTTGTCATTTAACGCCGCACTCAGCAAATATTCAAACAGTATGGCGGCGGTTTTTGAATAATCAAGTCTAGACCAGACAATTCAGTGATCAACAGCATGATAATCAATCTACGCAACTGGGATACGATGACATGTGTCAACCAAGTCAGCGAGCCTGACCACCCGACCCCGTTAGTCGCCTCATACGAGAAGCATGGGTTGCTGAAGATCAATTCTAACCCGGATCTTCATGGGTACAGTAAGCAGAATCCCGGAGAAGATTGGTCTTACGCAAGCCATGATTGTCTCCTGAGGAAAGAGTGAGTGAATATAGTTTTAAGCCGCTTTTAGCAATATTCCAGCAATATTAAGGCGGGGGACACCAGAAATGAACTTCATACATTGCACCTATGTGGGGAACGCTTTGACCACTACTCTACCCCACCGCCCCTCTGGGACAGTCAATGCATGTTATTGTATTCCCATTGCGTAGAGTGGTGCTCATAGCGTCAGTCACTGGATTATCTGGTCCAGATACGATCATTCACAGACCGTTGTCAGAGGGCTGGAACGCTGCTGAGTGTAGCGTTACACATCTAACAAACAGTCAGTGAGTTTTACGCCGCACTCAACGATATTCCAGCTATATGGCGGCGGTCTGTAAATAATCGAGTCTGGGCCAGAGAATCCTGTGATCAACAGCATGAGCATCGATCTATGCAATTGGGATACGATGACATGTGTCAACCAAGTCAGCGAGCCTGACCACCCGATCCCGTTAGTCGCCTCTTACAAGCATGGGTTACTGAAGATCAATTCTATCCCGGATCTTCACGGGTACAAACAAAGAATATCACGGTAATGCTTAAACCTGTTTACAGAAACTCCACTTAAGGTAAACATATCCTGTCTTGGTTGTTCAAACATAATATGCTACACTTCCTGATGAATGAACAGCTCTACGATACTGAACAATATTTGAGTGAGTTTGATTTTACGTCGCTTTTAGCAATATTCCAGTAATATCATGGTGGGGGACACCAGAAATGGGTCCACACAATGTACCCATGTGGGGAATCGAACCCGGGTCTTCGGCGTGACAAGCGACCGCCTTAACCACTAGGCTACCCCTCCGCTCCGATGAGCGACACGGGTGTTGACACAAACACGTTGACACAAACACGTCTGGCGGTAAGAACACAACAAACACCTAATTCATTTCAACGTCTTGACTCGGGTAGATGGTACACCTATCTCGACGCTTGGACACCATTAAAATGTACCCACATCTCGACATACTGACACGGGTAGATGGTACCCCAATTTCGACGCTGGACACCGATAAAATGTACCCATATCTCGACATATTGACACGAGTAGATGGTACACCTATCTCGACGCTTTGACACCATTAAAATGTACCAACATCTCGACATACTGACACGGGTAGATGGTACCCCAATTTCGACGCTTGGACACCGTTAATAATGTACTCATATCTCGACATACTGACACGAGTAGATGGCACACCTATCTCGACGCTTGGACACCGTTTAAAATGTATCCATAACTCGACTTACTGACACTGTACACCCATCTCACATTTAGACAAAATAGATAATGTGAAAATCTCAAAGCCAAAGAAGGGAAAATACCCTTACCTCAACGCACTGTAGGGGAGAAGAGTTTTCTCCCCTAGTTAGCAGGATCTGCTGATATTCCAATTTCAGATTTGGTATGTATATAAACCTTGGCTCAGTCAGCACCGCTTTCGTGATCGCGTTTCACAAAACAGTTAACATCTTCGACATTAAACCAAAATAATTTGTATGCCATGGTGGAACTGAAGTTGCGCAAAAGGTACCGGGATCAAAATCGATCACACGTGTTCAAAGCTAACGTCAGTAAAATAAACTCTACTACAACTCACCTTAGCAGAAACCCTGAACCAACAAAAGCTGAACATCGTCTGACGCTTTGAGTGATCGCGGTGGGGTCTTAAAACATCACGCTTATTACTGGCAACATAAATTAATATGCTTGTTGCTTCTTTACCCAGCGTGCGTACGTGATTCGCAATTTAGATTTTACCCGAGGCGCTGTGTACGTTTCGTTTAATCCATGTATAAGTATATTATGGCTGGCGTGTTTGAGCTTGGGAGGCCCCGAGGAACCGTTGGAGACAGTGTGAGACGGAGGGCTGACAACTCTCCATGCGTTTGATGGCGACATATATTAGTCTTTGATGGATGTCCCTCGAGAATATTCCCATCCACGTCAAGCCTTGCGATTGAAGGTGAGTGCGATGTGGCTATGCTTGAAACACTTAATAAAATCTCATCACTCAGATTTGAGGGGTCTTCAGGCGTTCATAGTCAAACCTATAATGGCGGCTATTTGTGGAGTTTTATTAGCCTTGAGTTAATGAGGACGTTCTGGCAACGAAGCTTTCGTGGGTAGTAATATAATGATTGTCTTAAGTGCGAAACAGTTATTGCTAGAAAGAATGCGTTTGATGGCAGTTGCTTCGAATGTGTTAAAGGCACTATTTCACACCACACTTCTCTAAAAATAAATAATACATTTCTTTCAATAATACTAACTATCAGTCCTAAGGGAGGCTGCCATATAATTTATTCCAAAAATGATTACAATATTGAATTAAAAAGTTCGAATGAAATAATGCAACGTTGCATTAAATCGACTCTCGCGCCGAACATTATTTCAAGTGAACCCCATAGAGTTATGTCTCCTTAGGAGACAGAACTCAGTCGCTGAAGCAGACGCTAATGCCTAGCGCAAAGCTATACGCGCAACTTGTGATTGAAACCAGTTCGGCAAACACCGACAACACCACGTGCGACAGTTTTCGATGTACAGAACATGAGTGAATGAATTTAGTCATATTCCAGCTATATGGCGGCGGTCTGTAAATAATCGAGTCTGGACCAGACAATCCAGTGATAAACATCATGAGCATCAATCTGCGCAATTGGGAACCGATGACATGTGTCAACCAAGCCAGCGAGCCTGACCACCCGATCCCGGGTGTACAGAACAATTGTTTACATTCTAATATATGCTTCTGTTTGGAAGCTGTTCGCCTCGACGTTTCAATCATCGTTTTCAGGCAAGTCGTAAGGGATAATAAGTCATATATTGCATCAATAGGAAGCTAAAGGGACTGCATATGTCCCAATATATATAATATAGGCCAAAATATTGTCGAAAATGTGTGAAATTATGCCTTTGAGTTTCTTAGGTGGGGGGGTTGGGGGTGTGGTGTTGTTTGTTGTTTTGGGGAGTATGTTTATGGGGGGATGTTTCAAGCTACTGTTAGCAATATTCCAGCTATATTATGTTGTAATGTCTGGATCAAAATGCCAGTGATTGATATAATGAACACGTAGAACGTCGTCCACATACAAGCGTTAGAGTACGTGTAGACGCGAAACCAGCGTAGTTGGAGAGGTATATGTTAGTGTTACACACCTAATAGGTAGATACGTCAACGAAAATGTAAGGGCAGTGAGTGAGTGAGTTTAGTTTTACGCTGCTTGTAGCAATACTCCAGCAATATCACAACGGGGGATACCAGAAATTGGCCTCACACATTGTACCCAGGTGGGGAATCGCACCCCTTCACGATCCTTAGGGCTAGGTGACATTTGCCCGCCCCCCAAC